TGGCCAAAGTTTGATTGATTCCAGTGACTGTGGTTTTCAATTCATGCTGTGTGAAATTGGAAAGATTTTGACTTTCCTCTATCGCCCAGGCTTGTATAGGCGTGTTGCGCTGCAGGAGAACATGACCACTGTTGCCTCGCGCCGCTGAGCTGCGCAGACTTCCGGGCTAAACTGCAGTTCATCGGACAACTCCTCGGACTCGGGCTCTTGCCAATCCCTGTCCCGCGGCGCTGAGCTCCGCAAACTTCGGTGCTACTTCGCTGTCTTCTAGGAGCGGGCGTTGTCGGATGCGGATTCTTTTCCCAACTCCGACGTAGCAGTGCATAGTTTCGCAAACGTCGCTGTTAAACTCTGCTTGCTGGACGGACGGCTCAGCTTCGTTCTTTTGCCCGCACGCACAAGCCCCGTTCTCGAGTAGCTTGGACAACCTTGTGCGCTTAGGCTTGACGCCTGCTAAAGTTGCACGGCCCGAACCTGTGCAGCGAGATGATGCCCAGGCAGCGCGCTGACGGTTGGAAGTCCCGCGCAGCCAAAGCATGCACTCGACATAGTGATCAGCCAGGTTATGGACGACCTCACTTTCCAGATGGCGTCCTACGACAACTTTCTGTCCTCCCCGTGGATGCGGGCCCGAGGCGCACATGTTGTGCATGCCTGTGCTTGCCGGCACGGCGTCAGTTCGATTGTGGTGTTTGGAGAGGTTCCCCCACTCCTTGAAGTCCCATACAGCCTCCGCACGCCGTCCTAGTAATTATCTAGAATGCACGGCAGCTGCAAATTCCAGGCTGAAATACACATGTGCAGGCTGAAATGCCCCGATGTGGGGCTTGGCATCGCGGAATGCGAGGGTCGGGTCCTTTACAAAAAAAATAGTCCCCGTTAAAGGCAGGTTGTCCAGGTGCCTATATAACGGGGACTGTTTTTTTTTCCTCTGCAATTGAAGCCAGTTCAGGCGCCGTGCCGACGAACGAGCATGCGGCCGATGTGACGGCTTCTGGAGGTGCCTCTGGGGATGTTCCTTTACTTGATCGATTCTACAGGGAAGTCTTCTCTGAACGTGTAGCCCCTGAACCTTTTACCATCCCGATGCCCTTAGGCCCTAAAAGTCTTTCCAAGGCACAGGTTTAAAATTCGAGCACTTGGAACAGGATTCAAGGGGTACTTGGAGGCCCAGGGGACTTAGGAAAGTAGGTTACAAGTAGGGGGTTGATTAGGGCAGCTCTCCCTCTAGGGCACTTAGGACCCCACTTATAACCTACTTACTCAGTCCCCTGGGCCGCCAAGTATGTCATGTGAAAGTCTTGCTAGACACGGGGGGCCACAGTAGTATTACGTCTTGGTCGTTCCAGCGAGTGCCGGGGCTGCGGGGTGCAGCGCAGGCAGGCATCCTCAACAACAGCGGGGTGTCAGAGGGGCTTCCGTCCGTTTACGAAGCCCGCACCCTAAAATATCCTAAACCCTAAACCTCATAAACCAAGAGATACCAAGAGAGCCCATTCATCCAGCTCTCCTTCAGACACGTATGTACGTGAACATGTATTTGTCCGCTTGCCATCGGAGCACCGTATGGATTTATTATACACATAAGGCTTGAGGTGGGCTGGGTTTCAGGTTACAGGCAGGCAGTGCCACACTTCCGTTGGCATTGGCTTCCCAGCGGTCCCTTTCCTGGATGGGCGGCAACGGCGAGCACCACTCGCGACGACCCGCCGTCTGTCCAGGTTAGCCCAACCGGGCCGCAGCAGTCCGCCGCGGCCGAAAAGAGAACAGGGCGGGAAGGCCAATGCCAACGGAAATTTTCAGGGCACCCTACCCTCACCCTAGCCCTAACCTCATCCGCGTGAACGGCGCAAGCCGACACCGTTTCCAGAACTCTGCGAAATCAAGGGTCTACATGGTTATGGCTGGCTCTGGCTAGCGCAAGCACAAAGCGACCATGTTTCGGTAACTCTGCGAAAACGAGCGTTTGCATGGGAATGGCTGCTTAACGCCGGCGCAAACCGACCGTGTTTCTGGGAACTCTGCGACATGCAGCGTTTTCATGTTCATGGCTGGGCTTCCGGTTTAGGGCAGGGTTTGGGGTAAAAGGCTTAGGGTTTGGGTTTGGGGTAAAGGGTTTAGGGTCGGGTTTAGGGTTTAGGGACGGACCTGAGTCAGCTGGCGTACGTTGTTGCCAGTCTGGCGTGGTAGAAGCACAAAGGTCAAGACTATAGCTTCTACTGAGGATACAGATTCTTTGGGTCCTTGATTTGCAAGAGCCCGAAATGTAGCGTCTGCTGCTGCCATACCAGCCTGCCCGCTTCCTCCGTCCCAACCCTGCAGGAGAGCTGGCGGCAGCACGGGGAGGACTTGCGACGCCCTGTCAAGGTGGTTGCCTTGGATTTGGGAGCTACACGGCCTCTGCATGAAGCCTGTCGAGTCTCTGATCCCCCAGCCTTGCCGTGGCCTCCCCCCTGTACACAAAGCTTAAAGCTTGTCGGCTGAACTGCATGTCTGTGGGCTGAAATGCCTTGGTGTGCGCTCGCGCTACGAGCGAAGCAAGGGCCTACAAGGCCAAACCGAAAGAGTCCACGCCTGCAGGAGAGCCGGCCACAGCAGTGGGAGGACATGGGGAACACGGAGCAGGCGGGCTCTGATGCCGGACATGCCTATCCCCATCCGTCACGCGCAGAATATGTTATACAGCTTAAGCAGTCCCCGGTCACAAAACTTACTCAGACACGACGCCGCGCCAGAAATATGTTGACAGCCCTACACCCTCGACTTAAAACCCGAGACCCAAGGCCGCCTACATGCCATGTAGCAGTACCGTCGGACATGATCACATGTGGGCTGGTCGCAAGACCTGACACGGCGCAGTGCATCACATCTGAGTCTAGGTGTGCAACCTGTACGTTCCTGGGCTATTCGCTGACTCTGCTATAGACCCACACATCGCACGATGCAGCAGGTGCAGACAGGATGCAGTCTGCGGAAGAAGGCCGAACTCTGCGCTCGGGGGGCATGTGCATGAAGTCTTCGTAGCCCACAAGCCTGCATCACTTCCCTTCTTCAGCCTGTCAGCTGGAATGCACGTTTGTCGGCTGAAATGCACTAATGTTGGCTCGGGCTTTGGGGACGCGTGGGACTGCAGACACTTGCACGGATAGAATGGACCCCTCTGGAATTTAGCCTTTGCAGGAAACTTAGGCCAGATATCCGCTCTGTGCAGCGGTCCTTCCATGTCTGTGGTTGAAGTTGAGTCCTAGGATGTTTGTCTGTCTTCATCCTCATGTGTTTGCGTTTGTTTTGGAAGACAAATGAGTTTGCATCCCGACTCCTTTGGGTAGAGTCTGTGCATCCCGAGGTTCCAACAGCCCGAAATGTTGTCCGTGTGTTTGAGAGTCCTCCACCCAAAACCTGAAATGAAGACCTCCGCTAGTATAGTGCAAGCTCCAAAGACTACTGTAGGTAGGCCTTTTCCTCGCAAGGGCTCCATGCGCATCTGCAGGACAGTCAGGAGTGGAGCGAGATGGGGAACACGGCCCAGGTCGGCTCTCCCGATCTTCGCTGCACGTGGGCTAGGTACGGCAGCCTCAGAGGCTTCTCCCTGCCCGAAGCACAGTCTGAGCAGAACATACAATCCTAAGCTCGGAGGTTCGTGGGAATTCATAAAAGAGGTTGCAAGTCTTTGTACCCTAAACCCTAAACCCTAAACCCTGAACCCTAAGCCCTAACCTTTTAATCCTCATTACTAAGGCCACGGAACCATCGTAAGAGATGTCCTAAGCATCTCGGAAATTCATGCCTGCAGACCAGTTGGCTGTAGCACGTGAGTCTTTCGCCTATAGGTTCTAACTAGACCCATCGCGCGATACAGCAGGTGCAGACACCAGGCCGTCGGCGGAAGAAGGCCACAAGTGCGCTCACAGAGCCTTTGCGTGAAGCCTGTTTAGTCTGACCTCTCCTGCCCCCACCCCATAGCGAGGCAGCCCAAATGCGGGTGTGTGGGCTGAAATGCCCTGGTGTGGGTTCTGCATGACGGGGAACACTTTCCTGCGTTGCAGGTCGCGCAGAGCTGATTCGGCAGCACGCTCAACGCATCCGCTGCGACGGTGAGTGGCTCGAACTGGCGGACTTGTTCCTGTACACGGCGGAACGTGGCATCCAGATGTTCCTTGTTCACAACCGGCCGGGCGACTTGGAGGTCCAGGCAGCTGCGGACTTCGTGCATGCCGTCTGTCCGACCATCCCCGTGGACATGCTGAAGAGCAATGCAGAGACAGAGTGGACGTTTGTACTGACGCCCGCCTCCTTCGAGCCGCTCGCCGACCCGAGAGCAGCGAATCATTGGTGTCCAGCATACCGACGCAATTCTGTTGCAGACCCAGAGGAGATGATTGACCAGGCACTCACACGGTTCAGTTGCCAGCTGAGCGACTTGCAGGCTTGCCTTGCTCATGAAGCGGACCAGGAGGTTCGCGGCACATTAAAGCTGGACCTGCAGTATATGCGAATGGCCCAAGCGCGCTACATGCTCTTCGTGGACAGGCTTCGAGCTTTGGGGCTCTTGTGCACGAACGTCGCTTCCGACGGTAACTGCGGTGCTCTGACGCTACTCGAGCTCGCCGGAGAAGCTGCTACTCCCACCGGTGTCCAAGCTGTTCGCGCAGGCATTGCCGATGCATGGTGTCGGAATGCAGACCTGCCGGCGTGGCAGGACCGGGCACTTGCAGTTATTTTGCAGTTGCGCTGAAATACACATGTGCCGGCTGAAATGCCCCGATGTGGGGCTTGGCATCGCGGAATGGGAGGGTCGGGTCCTTTACAAAAAAAATGGTCCCCGTTGAAAGCAGGTTGTCCAGGTGCCTATATAACGGGGACTGTTTTTTTTTTCCTCTGCAATTGAAGCCAGTTCAGGCGCCGTGCCGACGAACGAGCATGCCCCAGTTTGTTGTCCCAGCACAGCTGCAAACCCCATGCGTCGCCCCTTGCGCTAGGACTTGTTCCAGTACTTCGGCATGGACATCGACCACCGTCGGAGCAAGCGGCAGCTGGAAGCAGCCTTGCGAGCCGATGCCTCGGGCTGCGATGTCACGCCGGTCCGCAAGGTGCGAAAGACAAACAGTGTGACACCGCCAGCGCCGAGGAAAGGGATCCTGGGAAAGCCAAGGGATCAGGGTTCCACGCAACTCATCAGGTTGCCCCCGGCAGAGAGTGCGGACAAGCCAGAGGCCGAGGAGCACGCAGCCGAGGCCGAGCCGGTCAAGCCCCGGAAGCGCAAAGTGCAGTTGCAGAGCAAACGAGACATACCGGTGGTGAAGACCAAGCAGTACTTGGCCAATCGTGGTGTTACATGGCCCGCATGGAGACGCGCACACCTGGACTGCAGCAGAATTCCGGGTTCGTGGCTTTGCGAGCATGCCGACGGCAAGTACAACACTGGCTTCGTCCAGCTCCAAGAGCGACTCGTGGAGGAACTTGACATCCAGTGCAAAGCCTGCCAGACGATCTTGGACAAGTGCGGTGTCGAATTGCAAGACTTGAAGGCCTTCCTCTTAGCAGACGCACCGGAGACGAGGTTCAAGCCTGTGCAGGGCGCTGCAGCAGAGCAAGTCGTCGTCGCAGAGGACGGGGATTTGATGCGCGGGTTGCCCTAGCTGCTTGCCTCTTGCTCCTCGCATTGCTCTCAGGACCTGGACACTGCTCATGGAGCAGAGCAGCAGATCGCAATCCCGGCAAACGCGCCGCTCAGCTTGGAAGCCAAACGACGCATGCGGCAGCAACTACCGCAGGACCTGTGCCAGGACCCCCGGCAGTTTCATGTCATGTACTCCGAGGAGCTTCAGCTGCTGGCCCCTGGACAGTGGGGCAAGAAGCTGCCGGTGAAGTGTTTGATTTGCCGGCGTGTTCGGAAGGGTGATGTCGTCTTTGATCAAGGTGACGCGAGGAAGACCAAGTATCTTTGGCAACATGTGCTCTCGGCCGGCCACATCAATGCCCAAGAGGCTCTTGCTCGCGCACCGGTATGGCTGGACTGTCGCGGCTTCTCCCTGCAAAACTGTTCCAGATCCAGGTACGCTCTGTCAGCCATTCCGGAGGCAGTGCGGCTGTAACTCGACTCTGCTATAGCGTGCTTCGGGATATTTCGGGGGTCAGCTCTTGTTCACCTTGGTTCCTTGCATGAGTCCGTGTACACAGGCCTTAACGCGACCCCCCGACAGTTGGCTAGATAGGGCCTGCGGAGGCTGAAATCAGGGGGTGCGACGCCGCGTTGCCAGAAATGAGTCGTGCCCAACTACAACCTTGCCCAGGTTCACTAAGACCACCTCCCAACAATTGGTTCCGAATGAGGTACGCTCATTTGGCGAACTTGAACGACACGGCGCACGACGGGCACACGTACACTTTGGACTGCAAGACAGACGATGTCAGCATACGCCACAAGAACTGCTGCAAACGGGCTCTGTCCGAAGAAATGTATGGGTCAGATTCATGGAGGCTTTGCAAGATGTGCCACGCCCTGGGGAGCGACAGAAACATTCGCAAGTCCGTGCTGAAGATGGAGTTCCGCCTCTTGGCAGTGCGACTCTTGCAAGCACGCTTTGGCCATGGCCCAACCCCGGATGAGGTCCTGGAGATAGCCCAGAAGAAAGAGACATGGCCGCAGCTACAGGAGTCTTTGGAAGAGCTCTGGCGACTGGACCTTGCAGAGCTCCTCCGTGTGCACTTTCCAACGTCTGTGGAGAGGCTGAGCCAGGCCATGCAAGAGCTTCATGCAATGTCGGTAGCTCCTCTGCTGGCCTTGCCCGTGCACGCCAGTGCAAGCCGGAGCATGGCAGAGACGCAGCTGGTGGCGCGAAGCCTGAAAGACAGAGATCTGGTGAGTGTGTCCGAGACCTCGCTCAAAATCGCTGCGAAAGCACATTCTGGAACATTGGAGGAGCATCCGATGGTGCAAGGCTTGCTGCTTGCTGTCCTAGAGCGCGCTGAACGCAACTCCAGAGGTGTGCCCTCGATGCGTCACTTCCAACGCAGCGTTGCAGAAGATGCCTTCTATAGTGAAGCCTGCTTGGCGTTGGCGCTAGCGGGTGGAAACCAGAAAGTCTTTCAGCTCTTGGGTCTGAGTTGGGCACAAGTTCGCATGCCGCTTACCAGCTTGCGTTCGCAGTCGCTGCCGGATCCTTTCTGTGCCTACAAGTCGGAGGAGGTCCTGTCCATCAATGCCAGGCTCTTGAAAGATGCCTTGCCCCCGCCGCCTGTGCCTTGCTTAAGTTTCATCTTGGTCTGCAGCGTTTTGACTTCACTCATACATGGCTGTCGCAGTCATACATGGCTGTCGCAGTAAGCGAAGTAGTGGCACACCAAAGATCTTGGCCCTAGGACCTCGACGTGGCCCGCTACCTCGTGGTGTCGTTCGACAACACGTACACCCAGCAATCGCTGCTTCCTCTGGCTACGCGGATGGGCCGTGGATTGGTAGGCGGTTGCTTCAGCTTGACGGAGGACGATGACAGGTGTTTCATGAACATTGCCCAGGACAGAGAAGATGAGGTCTGGGATGTCAAGAAGATTCAGAGGGCGACCCAAATGCTCGAGTTCCTGGCATGGCACCCTACGGCAGGGCCCTCCTTCTCGGCTTGTGCCGTACCGAATGCACACTGCGACAAGCAACAGATGTTCCAATTGGTTGGCCGCGTGATGGATGGTTTGAAGAGCGTCCGCTTCATCTGCTCAGACAATGCGCTGGAGCATGTGTGGGTCAAGTCTTTCCTTCTGGGCCAGGACCCGCCCGTGCCAGAGCATGTGCTGCAGGAGACAAGATTTTTCAGAGACATTACTTTTCGACCGCTTCCGATGCACAGCCTGCCTCGGTTTCCCTTCAAAGGCGCAGTTCTGGATAGTGAAACAATTCACTATCTGCCTGGCCCAGCGCATGTCCAGAAGAACTGGACTCAGCAGGTGCGCGCATGGAACCGAGCTCTTCATTTCGGAAGGCTCCCAGTCGATCACTCTTGCTTGTCGGAGCTGGGGCTGCCCCCAGCCCCGTTTTCAGGCTGTGATCCTCAGTCCGACACAGAAGCCTGCATGTTGCTGGACCCTTACTATTGCGCAACGAACATAGAGGCCGCAACTGTGCAGGTGCCATGGTCGCTCTTCGGGTTCCTTTCCTTGAACGCCACTACGGCAATGGCCTCCGCATCTCTTCTCCACAGTTCCATGCCATCCAGCGACCGTTGCTACAATGCGCTGTCTTCTTACGTACTTCTGGATTTGGCTACCATGTACCGCGACGACGCGTCTCAGATTTCCGGGCAGCCCGCGGACCTTTGCTTTCTGCACACCACGACCGTGAAGAATCTGCAACAGTTGTGCGGCTCCGCCGTGCTGCTGTGCTTGGGAGCGCCGGCTGGCTTCACCGTCAAGCGGACAAGATTGTCCGAAATCCGGATCGAGCAGTACTTCTCCTTGCTCCGGCGTCAGTTCAGCAACTCGCAAATGAGCATTCGAGATTATGTCCTCGCATCAGCTCGGCAGCATCGCCGGCACCTCCAAGAAGTCCGCCGAGGCCAAGCAACGCAGGCCGATGTTGGGGAGGCATTGCATCCGCTGAGCGCCGAGGAGTTCAGCACAATCTCGCAGCATGCCTTGCAGTCTTCGATGGAATTCTTCTCTCTTTGCACGGGGGTTCCGCCTGCGCAATTGAAGCAGCGATACTTGGAGTTCTGCGA